AAAATGTTCGCACCTATGAAACAGATTTGGAAGATATTTTACAAGACATTCGACAACCACAACACCTATAACGGACGACGTTCTTACACAAGTCTCAAACGATGTTGAAGACACTGTTTTTATGCAAGACATTGTTCACAAGGTCAATGCCACAGACAATCTCTGGACTTTCATCTATCGTGGGCCACCACCAACTATTATTACTAACCACCGCATTAATGCTATATTAATACAACATAATGACCACTACCACGTCGTTTTTCAATCCTTGGCACAGAACCGTAATCGTTCTCTACAACGTATCTTACAAGTCTTATCGATTCCAACAAGCTACTCGTTTGATATACTAGCAACACTACAACCCGTTATGGATTGGTTTCGTTTTGCGCCATACCTAGCACGTACAGGATATACTATACAACTTTTGGGTAAAAGATTACAACACCTCGTATAGCACATTGAACTAACACCCATGGACCAAAAAGACTGTGCCGCTCTAAATCGAGAATCCAGAAAACAACATGTCAATGTAAACCGATCGAAGCGCACTAATCTACTCGACGAACTTGTCGAGATGCATCTATGTACACATCTCAAAGACCTTAAACGTTGTCTCACACGTCAACAGCGACTATCCATCTACAACGAGTTTGGTATGCAGTGGGAAGAATCTGCAAAGATGTGCATAGAAGCCTTTAACGAAGAACTCTATCAACGTAAAACCAACATTACGTTTGAGGAGTACATCCAAGAAAACAACCACATGTTTCAGTGCGCTCATCCAAAATCTACAGATGATCCCTTCCTAGATAATCTCCTAGAAGCCAACAAAATCTCTAAAGATAAGTTTTGCACTGCTATACACGAGATCATGGACAAGAAGATTGACCGTCTCAACACTCTTTGTATTGAGGGACCTACTACTACCGGGAAATCACTTGTACTCAAGCTCATTACACAAAATTACCACTGTGGCACCGTACAACGTTCCGGAGATCATTCACAATTCTTTCTACAAAACCTTGTGGATAAACCTATCGCTCTCATGGAGGAACCGCGCATTACTATCAACACAGTAAACGATTTCAAAGAGTTGCTCGGCGGGAATCCTTTTGACATCCATGTGAAACACTCTCCTGATGTAACCGTGAAACGTCTTTCAGTTTTGATTTCAACCAATCACAGCCTAGGAGCTTACATTACCTCCATCGACGCAGCGGCTATATATGAGCGATGCCATACCTTCCAATTCAAATTTCGGGTTGGCACGCCGGAACTGCCAAAACCACGGAGCACCCTCTGCGCTTGTTATTTCTCTGCCTGGTATGGCAAGTGGTGGGAAGGGAATCCTTGTCGATTCGACGAATAACGACGAGGAGACGCCAGGAGAGACTGCCCCTACTACAGCTAAACGAATCCGACTCTTCCGACCTCGATACAATACCACAACCATCACCATCACAAGAAAGCAACACATTACGTCAACCAGTACAAACCCGCCGATACCTCTGACACCTTTTCCATTACCTGCTTACCCCTCTCCGCCTTCGAATTCTGGACTCTTCAATCTGACCAAACCTTCGCAGAACCTTTCGCAACCATGCGAAACGCATTTCCTTTATGCACTTTCAACCATGCTACATTACGTTTATCACACTATATACCTTTACAAAAATCTCTCCAAGACACTACTGCAACTGATGTCACGGCATTCAACAGTGCTCCATACATGTACATAGCCGAGGACACTACTGGACTCATCAACACTGTTCCCACTAACGTCACTGAACAATCTCTACTCAGTCAAGACTGTAAAGTCTTATCTTCCACATATTGGAACTTTTCTACTGACCAAGGACTCCTTGCATGCAATAACGTTCATACCCTTTCCGCTAACGATGTGTACTTCAAACGTTACGACTTTGATAACGACAGCAAATTTCTTACTACTACACCTACAGGTACAGCTAACGGATTTTCCTACATGCCTGGAGATTATTTTAACAACACTCCTCCATACAAATATATGCCATTCTGGAAAAAACTCGTACGCACTACTCCTGTTCCCACTACTCTACCCACCGCTGTGTCTGATTACATTGCTTTTGATGCCTACTCTTACACTATTAATCCCATATTCCTCTTCCTCCCCTACATTGAACCTGTATCCACTTCCGAAGATATCGTCCGCATGATGGGACATGTTCTCCGTGAAACCCAACTCACTCTTACTCTCATCGGTCCACAGGACGGCTGGCCAAACATTGCCAGCACTCTCAATGTCTCGACTGAAGCAAACTCTTGTGCTCTTGATACTGGCCACTATACCGATAAAACTTTGATCTTCCCTACCTTTCTCAATCACGCATACATTTTTCCTACCACATTACGTCTTCTTCGTAGAATCGATATTGGCTAGCAATCACTCGACCGCTAAAACTTTTACCATACTCCTCCTCCACTCAAAAATTTTTCCCGTATTAGTCCGCTCCGATCGAATTGCGAGTAGACTTGGTAAACTTGAACGTATCGTTGCAGACCAGATTCTCTGGAATTTGTCTGCTGCGTTTTCGTGTTGTATTATGATTGCACTAACACGACTGTTACTAACAATAGTAGGTGGAGGACCCCTATAGATGAACGTCCATAGGTTGTCGGTACTATTGATCTTGTGAATGATATCGCTGATAAAGACTTCGTCTTCGGCGGTCTCAGCAACTTGTGTGAGTACTTCTTCCGGTATCTCTGGTGCGCGTAACTCAGCAAGTATGTCTTCAAGCTCCTCGTCATGGGATCGCTTCTCAGGAATGTTACTTTGGGCAGGTTCTAACTTGCGTTTCCATCCGCTGGTAGATGGCTGAGGAGGAGGAGACGGTGGAGAAACGTCTAGTAAGTCATCGATCATAAAGGACGTCTTTTTGGTTGGTGACGCATCCAGATCGACGTTGTGTTCAGCAGCTCTCTTTAGTACGTGCATGGTGGCTTCAACATGGTGTTCAACGTGAGACTTGGTAGATTTAGGTACGGGTGTTTCGATGCCGGTGGACTGCATCTCGTTGTACCATTGTTCATATAGCTCTGGGTCCTGTCTTCTTAATCGCTCACTCATTACCCAGTGAGGGTAACTAAGAATCACATTTGAATGTTCCATCTGTTCCTTGTACTGCTCGTGTCGTTCTTTGAAGGTCTTTTTTCGGTCCTGGTGCCACTGGTCTAGGTTGGCATTCTTCTTCCTGATAGCCTCGAATTTAGCGATCTGCTGCTTAGTAAACGGCATCGTGAGTTAGCAAGTGTGCGTTTTTCGTGTGCTTATAAACTAGTGAGAAGCGTAGGTAACGGCGGGAGTCAAATATTTGTTCACCTCCTCCTCTTCTCACGAATTGTTTTGATGACCTGAGGAAGAGGAATGCGAAAAAACAGGGGTGTGATTATCGATTTCAATTATTGATTTTATATTTAGCCTATCAGATTGTCCCTCCTACGGAGTTATCTTATTCTCACTTCATTCTCCCCTCTTCTCTTTCGCTCACTGGGGACCTGTGGTCCGTGGCACAGCCACCGGGTGGTCTCGCGACGGACCACAGGTCCCCAGTGAGCGAAAGAGAAGAGGGGAGAATGAAGTGAGAAAAAGAGATAACTCCGTACAAGGAACAATCTGATAGGCTAAATATAAAATCAATAATTGAAATCGATAATCACACACCTGTTTTTTCGCATTCCTCTTCCTCAGGTCATCAAAACAATTCGTGAGAAGAGGTAAACAAATATTTGACTCCCGCCGTTACCTACGCTTCTCACTAGTTTATAAGCACACGAAAAACGCACACTTGCTAACTCACGATGCCGTTTACTAAGCAGCAGATCGCTAAATTCGAGGCTATCAGGAAGAAGAATGCCAACCTAGACCAGTGGCACCAGGACCGAAAAAAGACCTTCAAAGAACGACACGAGCAGTACAAGGAACAGATGGAACATTCAAATGTGATTCTTAGTTACCCTCACTGGGTAATGAGTGAGCGATTAAGAAGACAGGACCCAGAGCTATATGAACAATGGTACAACGAGATGCAGTCCACCGGCATCGAAACACCCGTACCTAAATCTACCAAGTCTCACGTTGAACACCATGTTGAAGCCACCATGCACGTACTAAAGAGAGCTGCTGAACACAACGTCGATCTGGATGCGTCACCACCCAAAAAGACGTCCTTTATGATCGATGACTTACTAGACGTTTCTCCACCGTCTCCTCCTCCTCAGCCATCTACCAGCGGATGGAAACGCAAGTTAGAACCTGCCCAAAGTAACATTCCTGAGAAGCGATCCCATGACGAGGAGCTTGAAGACATACTTGCTGAGTTACGCGCACCAGAGATACCGGAAGAAGTACTCACACAAGTTGCTGAGACCGCCGAAGACGAAGTCTTTATCAGCGATATCATTCACAAGATCAATAGTACCGACAACCTATGGACGTTCATCTATAGGGGTCCTCCACCTACTATTGTTAGTAACAGTCGTGTTAGTGCAATCATAATACAACACTCAGACCATTATCATGTCGTTTTCCAAGCGCTGCCACAAAACCGAAATCGTTCATTACAACGCATCCTCCAAGTTATGGGTATTCCCTCTACCTTTACCTTTGATGTTCTGGCCACGTTACAACCGGTAGTCGATTGGTTTCGCTTCGCTCCGTATCTCGCCCGCACAGGGTATTCCGTTCAGGTACTAGGCAAGCACTTACAACACTTGGCACAACACATTGGCCTGACACCCGTAGACCAAAAAGACTGTGCCACACTGAACCGCGAGTCTCGTAAACAACAACATTCCAATGTTAACAGAACTAAGCGCACAAACCTGATTGACGAACTGATCGATGTTCACCGGTGTACGCACCTCAAAGAGTTGAAACGCTGTCTGACTCGTAAACAACGCCTTGCCATTTACAACGAGTTCGGCATGCAATGGGAAGAATCCGCTAAGATGTGCATTGAGGCATTCAACGAAGAGCTTTTTGAGCGCCAGAACACATATCTTTTGAAGAGTATATGCGCGAAAACAATCACATGTCAGTATGTGCCCATCCCAAGACTTTGGACGATCCATTTCTGGATAACCTGCTGGCAGCCAATAACATCGACAAAGATAAGTTTTGTACCGCTGTTCACGAGGTCATGAATAAAAAAGTCGACAGACTCAATACACTGTGCATAGAGGGGCCCACAACCACAGGCAAGTCACTCGTCCTCAAGATGATTTGTCAAAACTATCACTGTGGGACCGTTCAGAGATCAGGCGACCACTCACAGTTTTTCCTACAAAACCTGATCGATAAGTCTGTGGCCCCCATGGAAGAACCGCGAATTACCCTGGCTACCGTTAACGACTTTAAGGAGCTACTTGGAGGAAGCCCATTCGACATCCATGTTAAACATTCACCTGATGTGACCTTGAACAGACTGCCTGTGCTCATATCCACCAATCATAGTCTCGGAGCCTACATCACTTCCATCGATGCGGCAGCTATATATGAGCGGTGTCATACGTTTCACTTCAAAGTTCGTGTCGGATCTCCGGAGTTGCCTAAACCACGGAGTACTCTCTGCGCCTGCTATTTCTCCTCCTGGTATGGCAAGTGGTGGGAAGCGAATCCTTGTCGATTCGACGAATGAAGAAGATGGACCCGGAGAGACAGGACCTGCCACCGCGAAACGTATCCGACTATTACGACCAAGATACAACACAACGACGATCACCATCACCAGAAAGCAGCACATTACCATCAACCAGTACAAGCCTGCAGATACCTCCAGTACCTACGCCATTACCTGCCTTCCTCTTTCCACCTTTGAATTCTGGGCTCTGCAGTCAGATCAACAATTCGCTGAACCCTTCGACTCCCTACGACAAGCCTTCCCTTTGTGCTCTTTCAATCATGCTACACTACGCTTATCACATTACATACCTCTTCAGAAATCTCTACAAGGCTCTAACGCTGTTGACGTCACATCCTTTAACAGCGCTCCCTATATGTACATAGCCGAAGATGATACCGGCCTCATCAACACTATCCCTACCGCTGTTACTGAACAAGCCCTTCTAAATCAAGACTGCAAAGTATACTCTGCCACCTATTGGAACTTTGCCAGTGACCAAGGCCTCCTTGCGTGCAATAATGTACAAACACTGTCAGCAAATGAAGTATATGTCAAGAGGTACGACTTTGACCACAACGGTAAATTCCTCGTTACCACTCCTACTGCTACTCCACGAGGGTTTGCGTACATGCCTGGGGACTATTACAACAACACCAGTCCCTACAAGTACCTTCCCTTTTGGAAAAAGTTGGCTACAACCACCAGTGTTCCTACAGATCCTGCAACCTTGGTTCCAAACTACGTCGCATTTAGCCCCTATGCACATACTCTCCAGCCCATCTTCCTCTTCCTTCCCTACATCGAACCCGTCTCCGCCTCTGAAGATATTGTTCGCATGATGGGTCACGTCCTCCTCGAAACACAACTCACCATGACCCTCATCGCACCTCCTGATGGCTGGCGAAACCTTGCCAGCACTCTCAATGTGTGGATAAACGCAAACTCTTGCCAGCTTGATACTGACACTTACACAGATACCACTTTGCTTTTTCCTACTTTTTTCAATCACCCATAAATTATTCCTACCACATTCCATATCTTGTTCTCTAGCATTGACAGGCACGTGCCTTTGGCTGGCGACCACGTGACCGCCTTTTTTTGTCTACTCCTCCTCACTTCGTAGCTGTACCTACGGTTAAAAAGCTGAGCCTTTCTGATAGTCCGCTCCGATCGCCTCACGGGCAGCCTGGGCTGGACTGGCGCGTACGCAAACAAGCCAGACGCCCACGCATTTTGCTCGATGGGGACCTGTGGTCCGTGGCACAGCCACCCTGCGAGCAAAACGCGTGGGCGTCTGGCTTGTTTGCGTACGCGCCAGCCCAGCCCAGGCTGCCCGTGAGGCGATCGGAGCGGACAACCGCGAAAGGCATAGCCTACTGACCACAGGTACAGCTGGTGAGGAGGAGTATTAGAAAAAAAGGCGGTCACGTGGTTGCCAGCCAAGCATCGATTCTAGAGGACAAGACATTGAATTTGGTAGGAACATTTTATGCGTGATGGAAAAAAGTAGGAAAGTGCAAGGTGGTATCAGTGTAAGTACCAGTGTCAAGTTTACAGGAATTGGCATTGGTCCAAGTAGTGAGGTTGCTGGCAATGTTTCGCCAGCCATCAGGAGGTGCAATCAAGGTGAGTGTGAGTTGTGTTTCAAGGAGTACGTGTCCCATCATTCGGACGATATCTTCAGAGGCGGAGACAGGTTCAATGTATGGTGGGAATAGGAAAATGGGTTGCATGGTATGTGCGTAGGGATTAAATGCAATTTGGTCAGGGACCACGGTGATGGGAGTAGTGGGCACAGCATAGGATGAATAAAGTTTTTTCCAAAAGGGTGAGTAGTTGTATGGAGCAACGTTTTGGAAATAGTCGCCTGGCATGTATGCAAATCCTCTGGGAGTAGGAGCAGGTGTAGCAACGAGAAATTTGCCATTGTTATCAAAGTCGTAGCGTTTGAAGAAAACTTCGTTTGCAGATAGAGTGTGGACGTTGTTGCATGCCAGTAGGCCTTGATCGCTAGAAAATTGCCAGTAAGTGTTAGAGGGAACTTTGCAGTTTTGATCCAATAGGGCTTGTTCCGTGACTGGTGTAGGTACGGTGTTGAGGAGTCCAGTGTCGTCTTCAGCTATGTACATGTAGGGAGAACTATTGAATGATGTGACATCAACAGCGTTAGAGCCTTGAAGAGATTTTTGGAGAGGGATGTAATGTGATAGACGTAATGTAGCATGGTTGAAAGAACATAGAGGAAATGCTGTTCGCAAGGTGTCGAAGGGTTCTGCGAATTGTTGATCGGATTGCAAGGCCCAGAATTCAAAGGTAGACAGGGGAAGGCAGGTGATTGCAAAGGTATCAGAGGTATCTGCAGGCTTGTATTGGTTGACGGTGATGTGTTGTTTGCGAGTGATTGTAATGGTAGTAGTGTTGTATCGAGGTCGTAGAAGTCGGATACGTTTTGCTGTCGCTGGTCCTGTTTCTCCCGTGCCATCGTCCTCATTCGTCGAATCGACAAGGATTCGTTTTCCACCACTTGCCATACCAAGACGAGAAGTAACAAGCACAGAGAGTGCTCCGTGGTTTCGGCAGTTCTGGAGATCCGACGCGAACTCTGAAGTGGAACGTATGGCATCGTTCATATATAGCTGCTGCGTCGATAGAGGTGATGTATGTTCCAAGGCTGTGATTGGTTGAAATTAAAACAGGTAGGCGGTTCAAGGTTACATCGGGTGAGTGTTTGACGTGTATGTCAAACGGGCTACCTCCAAGAAGTTCTTTAAAGTCATTGACTGTGGCTATAGTAATGCGTGGTTCTTCCATCAAAGCAATAGATTTGTCGACAAGGTTTTGTAGAAAGAATTGTGAATGATCGCCTGATCTTTGTACAGTGCCGCAATGGTAGTTTTGGCAAATCATTTTGAGAACGAGAGATTTGCCTGTAGTTGTTGGTCCTTCGATACATAAGCAATTGAGGCGGTCAATCTTTTTATTCATGATTTCGTGTATTGCCTTACAAAATTTATCCTTGTCAATCTTGTTGGCTGCTAACAGGTTATCTAAGAATGGGTCGTCCAAGGTTTTAGGATGAGCGCATACTGACATGTGGTTGTTCTCTAACATATATTCCTCAAATGATACGTGTGTTTGTCTTTCAAACAATTCTTCATTGAAGGCTTCTATGCACATGATTGCGGATTCTTCCCACTGTTTACCGAATTCATTGTATATGGTTAGGCGCTGCTTTCGTGTGAGACATCGTTTTAGTTCTTTAAGATGGGTACATCTATGTACTTCGATCAGTTCATCGATTAGGTTGGTTCGCTTAGTTCTGTTTACGTTGGAATGTTGTTGTTTTCGGGACTCTCTGTTTAGTGTGGCGCAATCCTTTTGGTCAGCAGGTGTTAGGCCGATATGTTCTGCCAGATGTTGCAATTTAGTTCCTAGTGTTTGAACAGAGTATCCGGTACGTGCTAGGTATGGAGCGAAACGGAACCAGTCAACAACAGGTTGTAATGTTGAGAGAATGTCGAACGTGTACGTGGATGGAATGCCCATAACTTGCAATAGTCGCTGTAGCGATCGATTACGGTTTTGTGGTAGAGCTTGAAAAACAACGTGATAGTGGTCAGAGTGTTGTATTATAATGGCACTGATACGGCTATTGGTAACAATAGTAGGTGGTGGTCCTCTATAGATGAATGTCCAAAGGTTATCCGTGCTATTGATTTTGTGTATAATGTCGCTGATGAATACTTCGTCTTCGGTTTTTTCAGCGACCTGGGTCAAAACTTCTTCAGGAACCTCTGGTGCTCGTAGTTCAGATAGTATGTCTTCCAAGTCTTCTTCATAGGAACGTTTAATAGGTGTATGTTCTTCAGGTTCCAATTTTCGTTTGCTGCCAGATGCTTGAGGAGGAGGAGTTGTAGAATTTTCTTGTATTATGTCATCGATCATGAATGATGGTTTCTTAGGTGGAGATGCGTCCAAATCTACGTTATGTTCTGCGGCTCTCTTTAATACGTGCAAGGTGGCTGCGACATGTTGTTCAGCTTGCGCCTTTATTGATTTTGGTACTGGTGTTTCGATTCCTGTCTCTTGCATCTCATTGTACCATTTTTCATATAGTTCTGGGTCTTGTACTCGTAGTCTTTCGCTCATCACCCAATGTGGATAACTCAGAATAACGTTGGAGTGTTCCATTTGTTCTTTGTATTGTTCGTGTCTCTCTTTGAATGTCTTCTTTCTGTCTTCGTGCCATTGGTCCAAATTGTTGTTCTTCCTCCGTATGGCTTCAAACTTGGCAATCTGTTGCTTGGTGAACGGCATGGTGAATGAGGTGCTCTGTGTTTTACGGCCGTTTATATAGTCGTGAGAAGCGTAGGTAATGGCGGGAGTCAAATATTTCTTCTCCTCCTCCTCTTCTCACTCAGGTTATTTTGATGGCGTGATGAGGAGGAATGTGAAAATAAACAGGGGGTGTGATTATTGATTTTTCAGAGCGCATCAGATTTTTGTCTATCAGATCGTCCCTCTGAGGGGGTTGCCCTCAGAGTTCACTTGCTTCTTCCCTCTCCTATTTTGCTCACTGGGGACCTGTGGTCCGTGGCACAGCCACCCTTTGTGGGGAGAATGAAGTGAGAAAAAGAAATAACTCCGTAGGAGGGACAATCTGATAGGCTAAATATAAAATCAATAATTGAACTCGATAATCACACCCCTGTTTTTTCGCATTCCTCTTCCTCAGGTCATCAAAACAATTCGTGAGAAGAGGAGGAGGTGAACAAATATTTGACTCCCGCCGTTACCTACGCTTCTCACTACTATATAAGCACACGAAAAACGCACACTTGCTAACTCACGATGCCGTTTACTAAGCAGCAGATCGCTAGATTCGAGGCTATCAGGAAGAAGAATGCCAACCTAGACCAGTGGCACCAGGACCGAAAAAAGACCTTCAAAGAACGACACGAGCAGTACAAGGAACAGATGGAACATTCAAATGTGATTCTTAGTTACCCTCACTGGGTAATGAGTGAGCGGTTAAGAAGACAGGACCCAGAACTCTATGAACGCTGGTACAACGAGATGCAGTCCACCGGCATCGAAACACCCGTACCTAAATCTACCAAGTCTCACGTTGAACACCATGTTGAAGCCACCATGCACGTACTAAAGAGAGCTGCTGAACACAACGTCGATCTGGATGCGTCACCACCCAAAAAGACGTCCTTTATGATCGATGACTTACTAGACGTTTCTCCACCGTCTCCTCCTCCTCAGCCATCTACCAGCGGATGGAAACGCAAGTTAGAACCTGCCCAAAGTAACATTCCTGAGAAGCGATCCCATGACGAGGAGCTTGAAGACATACTTGCTGAGTTACGCGCACCAGAGATACCGGAAGAAGTACTCACACAAGTTGCTGAGACCGCCGAAGACGAAGTCTTTATCAGCGATATCATTCACAAGATCAATAGTACCGACAACCTATGGACGTTCATCTATAGGGGTCCTCCACCTACTATTGTTAGTAACAGTCGTGTTAGTGCAATCATAATACAACACTCAGACCATTATCATGTCGTTTTCCAAGCGCTGCCACAAAACCGAAATCGTTCATTACAACGCATCCTCCAAGTTATGGGTATTCCCTCTACCTTTACCTTTGATGTTCTGGCCACGTTACAACCGGTAGTCGATTGGTTTCGCTTCGCTCCGTATCTCGCCCGCACAGGGTATTCCGTTCAGGTACTAGGCAAGCACTTACAACACTTGGCACAACACATTGGCCTGACACCCGTAGACCAAAAAGATTGTGCCACACTGAACCGCGAGTCTCGTAAACAACAACATTCCAATGTTAACAGAACTAAGCGCACAAACCTGATTGACGAACTGATCGATGTTCACCGGTGTACGCACCTCAAAGAGTTGAAACGCTGTCTGACTCGTAAACAACGCCTTGCCATTTACAACGAGTTCGGCATGCAATGGGAAGAATCCGCTAAGATGTGCATTGAGGCATTCAACGAAGAGCTTTTTGAGCGCCAGACACACATATCTTTTGAAGAGTATATGCGCGAAAACAATCACATGTCAGTATGTGCCCATCCCAAGACTTTGGACGATCCATTTCTGGATAACCTGCTGGCAGCCAATAACATCGACAAAGATAAGTTTTGTACCGCTGTTCACGAGGTCATGAATAAAAAAGTCGACAGACTCAATACACTGTGCATAGAGGGGCCCACAACCACAGGCAAGTCACTCGTCCTCAAGATGATTTGTCAAAACTATCACTGTGGGACCGTTCAGAGATCAGGCGACCACTCACAGTTTTTCCTACAAAACCTGATCGATAAGTCTGTGGCCCCCATGGAAGAACCGCGAATTACCCTGGCTACTGTTAACGACTTTAAGGAGCTACTTGGAGGAAGCCCATTCGACATCCATGTTAAACATTCACCTGATGTGACCTTGAACAGACTGCCTGTGCTCATATCCACCAATCATAGTCTCGGAGCCTACATCACTTCCATCGATGCGGCAGCTATATATGAACGGTATCATACGTTGCACTTCAAAGTTCGTGTCGGATCTCCGGAGTTGCCTAAACCACGGAGTACTCTCTGCGCCTGCTATTTCTCCTCCTGGTATGGCAAGTGGTGGGAAGCGAATCCTTGTCGATTCGACGAATGAAGAAGATGGATCCGGAGAGACAGGACCTGCCACCGCGAAACGTATCCGACTATTACGACCAAGATACAACACAACGACGATCACCATCACCAGAAAGCAGCACATTACCATCAACCAGTACAAGCCTGCAGATACCTCCAGTACCTACGCCATTACCTGCCTTCCTCTTTCCACCTTTGAATTCTGGGCTCTGCAGTCAGATCAACAATTCGCTGAACCCTTCGACTCCCTACGACAAGCCTTCCCTTTGTGCTCTTTCAATCATGCTACACTACGCTTATCACATTACATACCTCTTCAGAAATCTCTACAAGGCTCTAACGCTGTTGACGTCACATCCTTTAACAGCGCTCCCTATATGTACATAGCCGAAGATGATACCGGCCTCATCAACACTATCCCTACCGCTGTTACTGAACAAGCCCTTCTAAATCAAGACTGCAAAGTATACTCTGCTACCTATTGGAACTTTGCCAGTGACCAAGGCCTCCTTGCGTGCAATAATGTACAAACACTGTCAGCAAATGAAGTATATGTCAAGAGGTACGACTTTGACCACAACGGTAAATTCCTCGTTACCACTCCTACTGCTACTCCACGAGGGTTTGTGTACATGCCTGGGGACTATTACAACAACACCAGTCCCTACAAGTACCTTCCCTTTTGGAAAAAGTTGGCTACAACCACCAGTGTTCCTACAGATCCTGCAACCTTGGTTCCAAACTACGTCGCATTTAGCCCCTATGCACACTCTCCAGCCCATCTTCCTCTTCCTTCCCTATATCGAACCCGTCTCCGCCTCCGAAGATATTGTTCGCATGATGGGTCACGTCCTCCTCGAAACACAACTCACCATGACCCTCATCGCACCTCCTGATGGCTGGCGAAACATTGCCAGCAACCTCACTACTTGGACCAATGCCAATTCCTGTAAACTTGACACTGGTACTTACACTGATACCACCTTGCACTTTCCTACTTTTTTCCATCACGCATAAAATGTTCCTACCAAATTCAATGTCTTGTCCGCTAGAATCGATGCTTGGCTGGCAACCACGTGACCGCCTTTTTTTGTCTACTCCTCCTCACCAGCTGTACCTGTGGTCAGTAAGCTATGCCTTTCGCGGTTGTCCGCTCCGATCGCCTCACGGGCAGCCTGGGCTGGGCTGGCGCGTACGCAAACAAGCCAGACGCCCACGCGTTTTGCTCGCAGGGTGCTGTGCCACGGACCACAGGTCCCCATCGAGCAAAATGCGTGGGCGTTCTGGCTTGTTGCGTACGCGCCAGTCCAGCCCAGGCTGCCCGTGAGGCGATCGGGAGGCGGACTATCAGAAAGGCTCAGCCTTTTAACCGTAGGTACAGCTACGAAGTGAGGAGGAGTAGACAAAAAAAAGACGGTCCACGTGGTCGCCAGGCAAAGGCGCGTGCCTGTCGATGCTAGAGAACAAGATATGGAATGTGGTAGGAATAATTTATGGTGATTGAAAAAAGTAGGAAAAAGCAAAGTGGTATCTGTGTAAGTGTCAGTATCAAGCTGGCAAGAGTTTTGCGTTTATCCACACATTGAGAGTTGCTGGCAAGGTTTCGCCGGCCATCAGGAGGTGCGATTAGGTCTGTGAGTTGTGTTTCGAGGAGGACGTGACCCATCATGCGTACAATATCTTCAGAGGCGGAGACGGGTTCGATGTAGGGAGGAAGAGGAAGATGGGCTGGAGAGTATGTGCATAGGGGCTAAATGCGACGTAGTTTGGAACCAAGGTTGCAGGATCTTGTAGGAACACTGGTGATTGTAGCCAACTTTTTCCAAAAGGGAAGGTACTTGTAGGACTGGTGTTGTTGTAATAGTCCCCAGGCATGTACACAAAACCTCGTGGGAGTAGAGCAGTAGGAGTTGGTAACGAGGAATTTACCGTTGTGGTCAAAAGTCGTACCTCTTGACATATACTTCATTTGCTGACAGTGTTTGTACATTATTGCACGCAAGGGAGGCCTTGGTCACTGGCAAAGATTCCAATAGGTAGCAGAGTATACTTTGCAGTCCTTGATTTAGAAGGGCTTGTTCAGTAACAGCGGTAGGGGATAGTGTTGATGAGGCCGGTATCATCTTCGGCTATGTACATATAGGAGCGCTGTTAAAGGATGTGACGTCAACAGCGTTAGAGCCTTGTAGAGATTACTGAAGAGGTATGTAATGTGATAAGCGTAGTGTAGCATGATTGAAAGAGCACAAAGGGAAGGCTTGTCGTAGGGAGTCGAAGGGTTCAGCGAGTTGTTGATCTGACTGCAGAGCCCAGAATGCAAAGGTGGAAACAGGAAGGCAGGTAATGGCGTAGGTACTGGAGGTATCTGCAGGCTTGTACTGGTTGATGGTAATGTGCTGCTTTCTGGTGATGGTGATCGTCGTTGTGTTGTATCTTGGTCGTAATAGTCGGATACGTTTCGCGGTGGCAGGTCCTGTCTCTCCGGGTCCATCTTCTTCATTCGTCGAATCGACAAGGATTCGCTTCCCACCACTTGCCATACCAGGAGGAGAAATAGCAGGCGCAGAGAGTACTCCGTGGTTTAGGCAACTCCGGAGATCCGACACGAACTTTGAAGTGAAACGTATGACACCGTTCATATATAGCTGCCGCATCGATGGAAGTGATGTAGGCTCCGAGACTATGATTGGTGGATATGAGCACAGGCAGTCAGTTCAAGGTCACATCAGGTGAATGTTTAACATGGATGTCGAATGGGCTTCCTCCAAGTAGCTCCTTAAAGTCGTTAACAGTAGCCAGGGTAATTCGCGGTTCTTCCATGGGGGCCACAGACTTATCGATCAGGTTTTGTAGGAAAAACTGTGAGTGGTCGCCTGATCTCTGAACGGTCCCACAGTGATAGTTTTGACAAATCATCTTGAGGACGAGTGACTTGCCTTTGGTTGTGGGCCCCTCTAGCACAGTGTATTGAGTCTGTCGACTTTTTATTCATGACCTCGTGAACAGCGGTACAAAACTTATCTTTGTCGATGTTATTGGCTGCCAGCAGGTTATCCAGAATGGATCGTCCAAAGTCTTGGATGGGCACATACTGACATGTGATTGTTTTCGCGCATATTACTCTTCAAAAGATATGGTGTGTCTGGCGCTCAAAAAGCTCTTCGTTGAATGCCTCAATGCACATCTTAGCGGATTCTTCCCATTGCATGCCGAACTCGTTGTAAATGGCAAGGCGTTGTTTACGAGTCAGACAGCGTTTCAACTCTTTGAGGTGCGTACACCGGTGAACATCGATCAGTTCGTCAATCAGGTTTGTGCGCTTAGTTCTGTTAACATTGGAATGTTGGTTGTTTACGAGACTCGCGGTTCAGTGTGGGCACAATCTTTTTGGTCTACGGGTGTCAGGCCAATGTGTTGTGCCAAGTGTTGTAAGTGCTTGCCTAGTACCTGAACGGATACCCTGTGCGGGCGAGATACGGAGCGAAGGCGAAACCAATCGACTACCGGTTGTAACGTGGCCAGAACATCAAAGGTAAAGGTAGAGGGAATACCCATAACTTGGAGGATGCGTTGTAATGAACGATTTTGGTTTTGTGGCAGCGCTTGGAAAACGACATGATAATGGTCTGAGTGTTGTATTATGATTGCACTAACACGACTGTTACTAACAATAGTAGGTGGAGGACCCCTATAGATGAACGTCCATAGGTTGTCGGTACTATTGATCTTGTGAATGATATCGCTGATAAAGACTTCGTCTTCGGCGGTCTCAGCAACTTGTGTGAGTACTTCTTCCGGTATCTCTGGTGCGCGTAACTCAGCAAGTATGTCTTCAAGCTCCTCGTCATGGGATCGCTTCTCAGGAATGTTACTTTGGGCAGGTTCTAACTTGCGTTTCCATCCGCTGGTAGATGGCTGAGGAGGAGGAGACGGTGGAGAAACGTCTAGTAAGTCATCGATCATAAAGGACGTCTTTTTGGGTGGTGACGCATCCAGATCGACGTTGTGTTCAGCAGCCTCCTTTAGTACGTGCATGGTGCTTCAACATGGTGTTCAACGTGAGACTTGGTAGATTTAGGTACGGGTGTTTCGATGCCGGTGGACTGCATCTCGTTGTACCAGCGTTCATAGAGTTCTGGGTCCTGTCTTCTTAACCGCTCACTCATTACCCAGTGAGGGTAACTAAGAATCACATTTGAATGTTCCATCTGTTCCTTGTACTGCTCGTGTCGTTCTTTGAAGGTCTTTTTTCGGTCCTGGTGCCACTGGTCTAGGTTGGCATTCTTCTTCCTGATAGCCTCGAATCTAGCGATCTGCTGCTTAGGTAAACGGCATCGTGAGTTAGCAAGTGTGCGTTTTTCGTGTGCTTATATAGTAGTGAGAAGCGTAGGTACGGCGGGAGTCAAATATTTGTTCACCTCCTCCTCTTCTCACGAATTGTTTTGATGACCTGAGGAAGAGGAATGTGAAAATAAACAGGGGTGTGATTATCGAGTTCAATTATTGATTTTATATTTAGCCTATCAGATTGTCCCTCCTACGGAGTTATTTCTTTTTCTCACTTCATTCTCCCCACAAAGGGTGGCATGTGCCACGGACCACAGGTCCCCAGTGAGCAAAATAGGAGAAGGAAGAAGCAAGTGAACTCTGAGGGCAACCCCCTCAGAGGGACGATCTGATAGACAAAAATCTGATGCGCTCTGAAAAATCAATAATCACACCCCCTGTTTATTTTCACATTCCTCCTCATCACGCCATCAAAATAACCTGAGTGAGAAGAGGAGGAGGAGAAGAAATATTTGACTCCCGCCATTACCTACGCTTCTCACGACTATATAAACGGCCGTAAAACACAGAGCACCTCATTCACCATGCCGTTCACCAAGCAACCGATTGCCAAGTTTGAAGCCATACGGAGGAAGAACAACAATTTGGACCAATGGCACGAAGACAGAAAGAAGACATTCAAAAAGAGACACGAACAATACAAAGAACAAATGGAACACTCCAACGTTATTCTGAGTTATCCACATTGGGTGATGAGCGAAAGACTACGAGTACAAGACCCAGAACTATATGAAAAATAGTACAATGAGATGCAAGAGACAGGAATCGAAACACCAGTACCAAAATCAATAAAGGCGCAAGCTGAACAACATGTCGCAGCCACCTTGCACGTATTAAAGAGAGCCGCAGAACATAACGTAGATTTGGACGCATCTCCACCTAAGTAACCATCATTCATGATCGATGAAATAATACAAGAAAATTCTACAACTCCTCCTCCTCAAGCATCTGGCAGCAAAGGAAAATTGGAACCTGAAGAACATACACCTATTAAACGTTCCTATGAAGAAGACTTGGAAGACATACTATCTGAACTACGAGCACCAGAGGTTCCTGAAGAAGTTTTGACCCAGGTCGCTGAAAAAACCGAAGACGAAGTATTCATCAGCGACATTATACACAAAATCAATAGCACGGATAACCTTTGGACATTCATCTATAGAGGACCACCACCTACTATTGTTAACAATAGCCGTATCAGTGCCATTATAATACAACACTCTGACCACTATCACGTAATTTTTCAAGCTCTACCACAAAACCGTAATCGATCACTACAGCGACTATTGCAAGTTATGGGCATTCCATCCACGTACACGTTCGACATTCTCTCAACATTACAACCTGTTGTTGACTGGTTCCGTTTCGCTCCATCCCTAGCACCTACCGGATACTCTGTTCAAACACTAGGAACTAAATTGCAACATCTGGCAGAACATATCGGCCTAACACCTGCTGACCAAAAGGATTGCGCCACAATAAACAGAGAGTCCCGAAAACAACAACATTCCAACGTAAACAGAACTAAGCGAATCAACCTAATCGATGAACTGATCGAAGTACATAGATGTACCCATCTTAAAGAACTAAAACGATGCCTCAAAAGAAAGCAGCGCCTAACCATATACAATGAATTCGGTAAACAGTGGGAAGAATCCGCAATCATGTGCATAGAAGCCTTCAATGAAGAATTGTTTGAAAGACAAACACACGTATCATTTGAGGAATATATGTTAGAGAACAACCACATGTCAGTATGCGCTCATCCTAAAACCTTGGACGACCCATTCTTAGATAACCTGTTAGCAGCCAACAAGATTGACAAGGATAAATTTTGTAAGGCAATACACGAAATCATGAATAAAAAGATTGACCGCCTCAATTGCTTAGGTATCGAAGGACCAACAACTACAGGCAAATCTCTCGTTCTCAAAATGATTTGCCAAAACTACCATTGCGGCACTGTACAAAGATCAGGCGATCATTCACAATTCTTTCTACAAAACCTTGCCGACAAATCTATTGCTTTGATGGAAGAACCACGCATTACTATAGCCACAGTCAATGACTTTAAAGAACTTCTTGGAGGTAGCCCGTTTGACATACACGTCAAACACTCCACCGATGTAACCTTGAACCGCCTACCTGTTTTAATTTCAACCAATCACAGCCTTGGAACATACATCACCTCTATCGACGCAGCAGCTATATATGAACGATGCCATACGTTCCACTTCAGAGTTCGCGTCGGATCTCCAGAACTGCCGAAACCACGGAGCACTCTCTGTGCTTGCTACTTCTCGTCTTGGTATGGCAAGTGGTGGAAAACGAATCCTTGTCGATTCGACGAATGAGGACGATGGCACGGGAGAAACAGGACCAGTCGACAGCAAAACGTATCCGACTTCTACGACCTCGATACAACACTACTACCATTACAATCACTCGCAAACAACACATCACCGTCAACCAATACAAGCCTGCAGATACCTCTGATACCTTTGCAATCACCTGCCTTCCCCTGTCTACCTTTGAATTCTGGGCCTTGCAATCCGATCAACAATTCGCAGAACCCTTCGACACCTTGCGAACAGCATTTCCTCTATGTTCTTTCAACACTGCTACATTACGTCTATCACATTACATCCCTCTCCAAAAATCTCTTCAAGGCTCTAACGCTGTTGATGTCACATCATTCAATAGTTCTCCCTACATGTACATAGCTGAAGACGACACTGGACTCCTCAACACCGTACCTACACCAGTCACGGAACAAGCCCTATTGGATCAAAACTGCAAAGTTCCCTCTAACACTTACTGGCAATTTTCTAGCGATCAAGGCCTACTGGCATGCAACAACGTCCACACTCTATCTGCAAACGAAGTTTTCTTCAAACGCTACGACTTTGATAACAATGGCAAATTTCTCGTTGCTACACCTGCTCCTACTCCCAGAGGATTTGCATACATGCCAGGCGACTATTTCCAAAACGTTGCTCCATACAACTACTCACCCTTTTGGAAAAAACTTTATTCATCCTATGCTGTGCCCACTACTCCCATCACCGTGGTCCCTACCAAATTGCATTTAATCCCTACGCACATACCATGCAACCCATTTTCCTATTCCTACCATACATTGAACCTGTCTCCGCCTCTGAAGGTATCGTCCGAATGATGGGGCACGTACTCCTTGAAACACAACTCACACTCACCTTGATTGCACCTCCTGATGGCTGGCGAAACATTGCCAGCAACCTCACTACTTGGACCAATGCCAATTCCTGTAAACTTGACACTGGTACTTACACTGATACCACCTTGCACTTTCCTACTTTTTTCCATCACGCATAAAATGTTCCTACCAAATTCAATGTCTTGTCCGCTAGAATCGATGCTTGGCTGGCAACCACGTGACCGCCTTTTTTTCTGATACTCCTCCTCACCAGCTGTACCTGTGGTCAGTAAGCTATGCCTTTCGCGGTTGTCCGCTCCGATCGCCTCACGGGCAGGCTGGGCTGGGCTGGCGCGTACGCAAACAAGCCAGACGCCCACGCGTTTTGCTCGTAGGGTGGCTATGCCACGGACCACAGGTCCCCGTTCGAGCAAAACGCGTGGGCGTCTGGCTTGTTTGCGTACGCGCCAGCCCAGCCCAGGCTGCCCGTGAGGCGATCGGAGCGGACTATCAGAAAGGCTCAGCCTTTTAACCGTAGGTACAGCTACGAAGTGAGGAGGAGTAGACAAAAAAAGACGGTCACGTGGTCGCCAGCCAAAGGCACGTGCCTGTCAATGCTAGAGAACAAGATATGGAATGTGGTAGGAATAATTTATGGGTGATTGAAAAAAGTAGGAAAAAGCAAAGTGGTATCTGTGTAAGTGCCAGTATCAAGCTGGCAAGAGTTTGCGTTTATCCACACATTGAGAGTGCTGGCAAGGTTTCGCCAGCCATCAGGAGGTGCGATGAGGGTCATGGTGAGTTGTGTTTCGAGGAGGACGTGACCCATCATGCGAACAATATCTTCAGAGGCGGAGACGGGTTCGATGTAGGGAAGGAAGAGGAAGATGGGCTGGAGAGTATGTGCATAGGGGCTAAATGCGACGTAGTTTGGAACCAAGGTTGCAGGATCTGTAGGAACACTGGTGGTTGTAGCCAACTTTTTCCAAAAGTGAAGGTACTTGTAGGGACTGGTGTTGTTGTAATAGTCCCCAGGCATGTACGCAAACCCTCGTGGAGTAGCAGTAGGAGTGGTAACGAGGAATTTACCGTTGTGGTCAAAGTCGTACCTCTTGACATATACTTCATTTGCTGACAGTGTTTGTACATTATTGCACGCAAGGAGGCCTTGGTCACTGGCAAAGTTCCAATAGGTGGCAGAGTATACTTTGCAGTCTTGATTTAGAAGGGCTTGTTCAGTAACAGCGGTAGGGATAGTGTTGATGAGGCCGGTATCATCTTCGGCTATGTACATATAGGGAGCGCTGTTAAAGGATGTGACGTCAACAGCGTTAGAGCCTTGTAGAGATTTCTGAAGAGGTATGTAATGTGATAAGCGTAGTGTAGCATGATTGAAAGAGCACAAAGGGAAGGCTTGTCGTAGGGAGTCGAAGGGTTCAGCGAATTGTTGATCTGACTGCAGAGCCCAGAATTCAAAGGTGGAAAGATGAAGGCAGGTAATGGCGTAGGTACTGGAGGTATCTGCAGGCTTGTACTGGTTGATGGTAATGTGCTGCTTTCTGGTGATGGTGATCGTCGTTGTGTTGTATCTTGGTCGTAATAGTCGGATACGTTTCGCGGTGGCAGGTCCTGTCTCTCCGGGTCCATCTTCTTCATTCGTCGAATCGACAAGGATTCGCTTCCCACCACTTGCCATACCAGGAGGAGAAATAGCAGGCGCAGAGAGTACTCCGTGGTTTAGGCAACTCCGGAGATCCGACACGAACTTTGAAGTGAAACGTATGACACCGCTCATATATAGCTGCCGCATCGATGGAAGTGATGTAGGCTCCGAGACTATGATTGGTGGATATGAGCACAGGCAGTCTGTTCAAGGTCACATCAGGTGAATGTTTAACATGGATGTCGAATGGGCTTCCTCCAAGTAGCTCCTTAAAGTCGTTAACGGTAGCCAGGGTAATTCGCGGTTCTTCCATGGGGGCCACAGACTTATCGATCAGGTTTTGTAGGAAAAACTGTGAGTGGTCGCCTGATCTCTGAACGGTCCCACAGTGAGAGTTTTGACAAATCATCTTGAGGACTAGTGACTTGCCTGTGGTTGTGGGCCCCTCTATGCACAGTGTATTGAGTCTGTCGACTTTTTTATTCATGACCTCGTGAACAGCGGTACAAAACTTATCTTTGTCGATGTTATTGGCTGCCAGCAGGTTATCCAGAAATGGATCGTCCAAAGTCTTGGGATGGGCACATACTGACATGTGATTGTTTTCGCGCATATACTCTTCAAAAGATATGTGTGTCTGGCGCTCAAAAAGCTCTTCGTTGCATGCCTCAATGCACGTCTTAGCGGATTCTTCCCATTGCATGCCGAACTCGTTGTAAATGGCAAGGCGTTGTTTACGAGTCAGACAGCGTTTCAACTCTTTGAGGTGCGTACACCGGTGAACATCGATCAGTTCGTCAATCAGGTTTGTGCGCTTAGTTCTGTTAACATTGGAATGTTGTTGTTTACGAGACTCGCGGTTCAGTGTGGCACAGTCTTTTTGGTCTACGGGTGTCAGGCCAATGTGTTGTGCCAAGTGTTGTAAGTGCTTGCCTAGTACCTGAACGGAATACCTTGTGCGGGCGAGATACGGAGCGAAGCGAAACCAATCGACTACCGGTTGTAACGTGGCCAGAACATCAAAGGTAAAGGTAGAGGGAATACCCATAACTTGGAGGATGCGTTGTAATGAACGATTTCGGTTTTGTGGCAGCGCTTGGAAAACGACATGATAATGGTCTGAGTGTTGTATTATGATTGCACTAACACGACTGTTACTAACAATAGTAGGTGGAGGACCCCTATAGATGAACGTCCATAGGTTGTCGGTATTATTGATCTTGTGAATGATATCGCTGATAAAGACTTCGTCTTCGGCGGTCTCAGCAACTTGTGTGAGTACTTCTTCCGGTATCTCTGGTGCGCGTAACTCAGCAAGTATGTCTTCAAGCTCCTCGTCATGGGATCGCTTCTCAGGAATGTTACTTTGGGCAGGTTCTAACTTGCGTTTCCATCCGCTGGTAGATGGCTGAGGAGGAGGAGACGGTGGAGAAACGTCTAGTAAGTCATCGATCATAAAGGACGTCTTTTTGGGTGGTGACGCATCCAGATCGACGTTGTGTTCAGCAGCTCTCTTTAGTACGTGCATGGTGTTGCTTCAACATGGTGTTCAACGTGAGACTTGGTAGATTTATGTACCGGTGTTTCGATGCCGGTGGACTGCATCTCGTTGTACCAGCGTTCATATAGCTCTGGGTCCTGTCTTCTTAACCGCTCACTCATTACCCAGTGAGGGTAACTAAGAATCACATTTGAATGTTCCATCTGTTCCTTGTACTGCTCGTGTCGTTCTTTGAAGGTCTTTTTTCGGTCCTGGTGCCACTGGTCTAGGTTGGCATTCTTCTTCCTGATAGCCTCGAATTTAGCGATCTGCTGCTTAGTAAACGGCATCGTGAGTTAGCAAGTGTGCGTTTTTCGTGTGCTTATATAGTAGTGAGAAGCGTAGGTAACGGCGGGAGTCAAATATTTGTTCACCTCCTCTTCTCACGAATTGTTTTGATGACCTGAGGAAGAGGAATGCGAAAAAACAGGGGTGTGATTATCGAGTTCAATTATTGATTTTATATTTAGCCTATCAGATTGTCCCTCCTACGGAGTTATCTCTTTTTCTCACTTCATTCTCCCCTCTTCTCTTTCGCTCGCTGGGGACCTGTGGTCCGTCGCGAGGCCACCCGGTGGCTGTGCCACGGACCACAGGTCCCCAGTGAGCGAAAGAGAAGAGGGGAGAATGAAGTGAGAAAAAGATAACTCCGTAGGAGGGACAATCTGATAGGCTAAATATAAAATCAATAATTGAAATCGATAATCACACCCCTGTTTTTTCGCATTCCTCTTCCTCAGGTCATCAAAACAATTCGTGAGAAGAGGAGGAGGTGAACAAATATTTGACTCCCGCCGTTACCTACGCTTCTCACTACTATATAAGCACACGAAAAACGCACACTTGCTAACTCACGATGCCGTTTACTAAGCAGCAGATCGCTAAATTCGAGGCTATCAGGAAGAAGAATGCCAACCTAGACCAGTGGCACCAGGACCGAAAAAAGACCTTCAAAGAACGACACGAGCAGTACAAGGAACAGATGGAACATTCAAATGTGATTCTTAGTTACCCTCACTGGGTAATGAGTGAGCGGTTAAGAAGACAGGACCCAGAGCTATATGAACGCTGGTACAACGAGATGCAGTCCACCGGCATCGAAACACCCGTACCTAAATCTACCAAGTCTCACGTTGAACACCATGTTGAAGCCACCATGCACGTACTAAAGAGAGCTGCTGAACACAACGTCGATCTGGATGCGTCACCACCCAAAAAGACGTCCTTTATGATCGATGACTTACTAGACGTTTCTCCACCGTCTCCTCCTCCTCAGCCATCTACCAGCGGATGGAAACGCAAGTTAGAACCTGCCCAAAGTAACATTCCTGAGAAGCGATCCCATGACGAGGAGCTTGAAGACATACTTGCTGAGTTACGCGCACCAGAGATACCGGAAGAAGTACTCACACAAGTTGCTGAGACCGCCGAAGACGAAGTCTTTATCAGCGATATCATTCACAAGATCAATAGTACCGACAACCTATGGACGTTCATCTATAGGGGTCCTCCACCTACTATTGTTAGTAACAGTCGTGTTAGTGCAATCATAATACAACACGAAAACGCAGCAGACAAATTCCAGAGAATCTGGTCTGCAACGATACGTTCAAGTTTACCAAGTCTACTCGCAATTCGATCGGAGCGGACTAATACGGGAAAAATTTTTGAGTGGAGGAGGAGTATGGTAAAAGTTTTAGCGGTCGAGTGATTGCTAGCCAATATCGATTCTACGAAGAAGACGTAATGTGGTAGGAAAAATGTATGCGTGATTGAGAAAGGTAGGGAAGATCAAAGTTTTATCGTTATAGTGGCCAGTATCAAGAGCACAAGAGTTTGCTTCAGTCGAGACATTGAGAGTGCTGGCAATGTTTGGCCAGCCGTCCTGTGGACCGATGAGAGTAAGAGTGAGTTGGGTTTCACGGAGAACATGTCCCATCATGCGGACGATATCTTCGGAAGTGGATACAGGTTCAATGTAGGGGAGGAAGAGGAATATGGGATTAATAGTGTAAGAGTAGGCATCAAAAGCAATGTAATCAGACACAGCGGTGGGTAGAGTAGTGGGAACAGGAGTAGTGCGTACGAGTTTTTTCCAGAATGGCATATATTTGTATGGAGGAGTGTTGTTAAAATAATCTCCAGGCATGTAGGAAAATCCGTTAGCTGTACCTGTAGGTGTAGTAGTAAGAAATTTGCTGTCGTTATCAAAGTCGTAACGTTTGAAGTACACATCGTTAGCGGAAAGGGTATGAACGTTATTGCATGCAAGGAGTCCTTGGTCAGTAGAAAAGTTCCAATATGTGGAAGATAAGACTTTACAGTCTTGACTGAGTAGAGATTGTTCAGTGACGTTAGTGGGAACAGTGTTGATGAGTCCAGTAGTGTCCTCGGCTATGTACATGTATGGAGCACTGTTGAATGCCGTGACATCAGTTGCAGTAGTGTCTTGGAGAGATTTTTGTAAAGGTATATAGTGTGATAAACGTAATGTAGCATGGTTGAAAGTGCATAAAGGAAATGCGTTTCGCATGGTTGCGAAAGGTTCTGCGAAGGTTTGGTCAGATTGAAGAGTCCAGAATTCGAAGGCGGAGAGGGGTAAGCAGGTAATGGAAAAGGTGTCAGAGGTATCGGCGGGTTTGTACTGGTTGACGTAATGTGTTGCTTTCTTGTGATGGTGATGGTTGTGGTATTGTATCGAGGTCGGAAGAGTCGGATTCGTTTAGCTGTAGTAGGGGCAGTCTCTCCTGGCGTCTCCTCGTCGTTATTCGTCGAATCGACAAGGATTCCCTTCCCACCACTTGCCATACCAGGCAGAGAAATAACAAGCGCAGAGGGTGCTCCGTGGTTTTGGCAGTTCCGGCGTGCCAACCCGAAATTTGAATTGGAAGGTATGGCATCGCTCATATATAGCCGCTGCGTCGATGGAGGTAATGTAAGCTCCTAGGCTGTGATTGGTTGAAATCAAAACTGAAAGACGTTTCACGGTTACATCAGGAGAGTGTTTCACATGGATGTCAAAAGGATTCCCGCCGAGCAACTCTTTGAAATCGTTTACTGTGTTGATAGTAATGCGCGGTTCCTCCATGAGAGCGATAGATTTATCCACAAGGTTTTGTAGAAAGAATTGTGAATGATCTCCGGAACGTTGTACGGTGCCACAGTGGTAATTTTGTGTAATGAGCAGGAGTACAAGTGATTTCCCTGTAGTAGTAGGTCCCTCAATACAAAGAGTGTTGAGACGGTCAATCTTCTTGTCCATGATCTCGTGTATAGCAGTGCAAAACTTATCTTCAGAGATTTTGTTGGCTTCTAGGAGATTATCTAGGAAGGGATCATCTGTAGATTTTGGATGAGCGCACTGAAACATGTGGTTGTTTTCTTGGATGTACTCCTCAAACGTAATGTTGGTTTTACGTTGATAGAGTTCTTCGTTAAAGGCTTCTATGCACATCTTTGCAGATTCTTCCCACTGCATATCAAACTCGTTGTAGATGGATAGTCGCTGTTGACGTGTGAGACAACGTTTAAGGTCTTTGAGATGTGTACATAGATGCATCTCGACAAGTTCGTCGAGTAGATTAGTGCGCTTCGATCGGTTTACATTGACATGTTGTTGTTTTCTGGATTCTCGATTTAGAGCGGCACAGTCTTTTTGGTCCATGGGTGTTAGTTCAATGTGCTATACGAGGTGTTGTAATCTTTTACCCAAAAGTTGTATAGTATATCCTGTACGTGCTAGGTATGGCGCAAAGCGAAACCAATCCATAACGGGTTGTAGTGTTGCTAGTATATCAAACGAGTAGCTTGTTGGAATCGATAAGACTTGTAAGATACGTTGTAGAGAACGATTACGGTTCTGTGCCAAGGATTGAAAAACGACGTGGTAGTGGTCATTATGTTGTATTAATATAGCATTAATGCGGTGGTTAGTAATAATAGTTGGTGGTGGCCCACGATAGATGAAAGTCCAGAGATTGTTTGTGGCATTGACCTTGTGAATAATGTCTTGCATAAAAACAGTGTCTTCAACATCGTTTGAGACTTGTGTAAGAACGTCGTCCGTTATAGGTGTTGGTGGTTGTCGAATGTCTTGTAAAATATCTTCCAAATCTGTTTCATAGGTGCGAACATTTT